CCATGAGGAAGTTCGGCTTAAAGACACGTCCCAGGGGCGTTTCTGGTCCCCACCTGTCGTTGTGCTCCTCAGCATGGCTGCTTAAAAACACTGCAGGATTTCTCAAACATGCATGGATGGGTAAAAGCAAGGCTTTGGGCATATTTTTAATGAGAGTATAACATTATAACATGATATAAAACTCAAAAAAGTTGATTTTACATGATATTGCCCCTTTAATAAATACACTGGGTGATACATATTAGTACATGTTTGCCTTTTTTTTAAGATACTGTATGTCTATTTTGGAGTTGTAGCCCCCCAGGAGAAAAATCCACCAGCTGTTACTGCTATAAAACCTGCCTTGCTTCACATTTGTTAATACCTGTGTTGATCTCCCTCTCAACACCATTTGCTGATTCCATCATTATGATCAAAGCTACCTAAATTGCAAAAGCCTGACTTGCTTTAATTTTCTTTTTGACCACCTACTGCAATATTTGGGTCAGGAGCCATGAGATTTCAAAGGAGCCCTCTGGGGACGGCCTAAATTCAAGAAAGCAAAAGATATAAATAAATGAACTCAAAAAGGCAAAAGCAGGATCTTCATTAAAATGATCCAAAGAAAAAACTAAAGTTTCAGCAAACTACTGAGGAACATTAGAGAACATTCAAAGTAAACAGGGCAAGAACATGACAAATGACAACAGAAGTGATCTGTTGTGTTCAGGTTGATTAGTTGACATGGGCTTGTTGCATTGAAGATTGGTAAGAATTTGTAAAGAATTGATTTGTACTTCAACAAAAAGTAAGACAGCTCAAGGATTATGTCTTTCTGGATGTCTGTTTCACAGAGTGTTCATAGTTAGAAGAAAGATGCAGGGATTAAATCATCATAAATTTGCCCTCTGCCCTCCTGCAACACTCCCAATGCAATGTGCATAGCTAAACATGTAAAGAACAACAGTGATAGCCACACGTCAACCCCTTCGGACATTTACCTGTACAACGAGCCTCAAATCTGAAATTTTCACAAATCTGAATTAATCACAYGCTGAGGTGTGAGATTGCTCTATATGTCTGTATACCTGCAAAATTTAAAAAGTATCCAGTATAAACATGCACTGCTCCTTATAAACAAACATGCCCAAAAAGTTCTGACTAATCACACACTCAAGCTGAACAAGTCTGTGCAACAGAGTTCTCTCTCAGCCAATGTACATGACAAGGTGTCAGCAAGAGATGACAGACGGAAGCTACACAACAGCTTCAGCAAGGTGTGGGAATTGAAGTATAAACCAGTCTTAAAGTCTGAGTTCTCACAGTTCCTATGTTTGAGTTGTTAAGGCAATTAAATCTGCATTCACAGTTTGCACGAGTTAACTTCCTTGGATTTGATTTTTTAGTAGTATAAGCACGCAACATTAGTCTGGTTAAAACCAGACCCTGTCCTTCACTTTGCTTCGTACAAGGGTCTGGACTTGAAGCATAGAGAAGTGATTCTTGCAGGAGGGGTGGCCTCTGCTGAAGTTTAAAATGACTGGATCAGTTGGCTGCGACGTATGTCGCTGTGACGGATGCTAAGCTAAGAAGCTAACCGGAAATCGCGTGTGCTGTAAACAACCCTACTGAGAGGAGAGAAGAACCGAGCCAAACGAGACGACTGTAAATGAGAGCTGCTGCTTTGTCAGACAAATTTATTTTAATTTGGAAGCCTTATCAACACAGACTGGCTTCATTCACTTACTGCGGTATGCTAAAATAACTAGCAGACACTGTGCAGAAAATTGACGTTCTTCAAAACTCCACCTTCTGTTTGCTGATTGGCCCAGGTAAAACAAACTACAAGCAGACATTGCGCAGAAAATTGACGTTCTCTTCTCTGATTGGCCCGGCTAAAAATCTGCCAGCAAAATCCTTGTCAATGGGAGAAGTCCCAGACGGAGCAGTGAAGGGAAACTAGAATTGAGCGGAGCTTCGTAGGAAGGCAAGGGCCAGGCTAACGCAACATGGGAGAGGTATTCCTTGCCAGCTGGAGACATAAGACAACTATGTTCTAATATGTTACTCACTTGTGCTGAAAGGGAGGTTCACCCACTGCTGTAAATTACACAACCATTTTGCAGCAATTGCATGAATAGCAGTTGGCCCTAAAATTCCTTTAAGGCCTTTTGACTTTTTTTATCATTTGAAAGGGTATCAAGCTCCGGTAAGAAACAGAGGAAATCATCTGACAACTTGGTTTTCAAAAAAATGCCCCAGGTAGCATCTGGAAATGTTYAAAGGCAAAAACCAAATAGTTTTCTGCCCACCGGCGGAACAAAGACTGAGTTGAATACTAACCATACATTTGTTAAACCTTGCACAACCTTTATTTATCTGTAATTAAAGTGAAAATGGTTGATGATGGGAGCAGTGTTATAAGCTGTAGACCTATTACAACCATAGGTGCGGATAAAAAGGGTGAACCATTGAAGATGCTTCACACGTCTGGAGAGGAGGCTCTGGAAACGTGACATCCTCAATGTTGAATCTGCAGAAAATGTGTGAGCAACATTACACAAGATGCTGAAGATATTGAACATAAAAGGGAAATGTTGTGTTTGAATGCCACCCATTCTGTTCTCACCCTATGCCTTAGGTAGTCAGAATTGACGGGTTTATGATTGAACTTCACCAGAAGTACAAAACTGCATTTGATGTGAGTAAAAATAGCATAATAGGAGATAAACCTGTTTTTACTGTGTCCCAAAGAAAAAACTGCTAAGGGAAATAAACTTAACTTTAGATAAAAGTGATGATAGCACTGTTGAAGTTGCTAAATTTCAAATGCATGAAGTGCATACATTCATCCATTATCCTCACCTGCTTCATCCGTTCACTGTCACTGGTGCCCTTTTCCAGTAGTCAGCATGCAAGGGGTGGAGTACACCCTGGACAGGTCACAAGTCCATCAGGGCCACATAGAGACAAACAACCATTCACCTTCTCATTCATACCTAGGAGCATTTCAGTTACCAATCAGCCTAACTAGGGATGCACCAATTCTCTTAAATTTGGGAGAATGGAGATGTTGATAATTAGACAAGATCGGTGGAAAAGATCAGCTTCTCATCTAACTCTACAAAGGTCTGAAAATCAGCCACTGTCCCCTTTTGCTCTGCTGAGAGCTCTACCTAATATCCAGTTAAAACAAGTTTGTATTGTTTCAAGGGTATTGTTCAATG